CACGAGTGGACTGATACTATTTGTTTTCTATAGTATAGATGTTGATCAGACAAAAACCAAAATGTTCAATATTAAAAAAAAAAAAAAATCCTTTTTATAAAAAGTCAAAGACCTACTTGTAATTAATAAATGCACATAAGAATGCCAACCAGCCTGTCTTTTGTAAATTAAAGCACTACTGATTTGACTGAGTATAGGGCTGTTCCAGGATCCCGTGGAGAGTTGTGCTCAGCACCAGGGCAGCTGGTAAGTCTTGCTGCAGCAGATTCTGTGCTGTCTGAGGAGTTGCCCTCATCTGTGCAGGGATGGGGACAGCAATGGGGGCCAGGATTTGTGATCAGTTTGTTTATACCACTGTCATTTAGAAAGAAATAAAATCAAGGTTTGCTTATACCGAATCTTCAAGTACTGCAAAGTTGGCGTGATTTAGGAGGGATTTCTGAGAGCTCACTGTGTTACTAGATTGGAATCTGAGGTTACACAAGTGAAAGTAAAGTAAGATCAAAGAACAGCATGCATAAGATTATAAAATAAATAGCAATGCCTTGCAGTATGCTGAGAACTTCTTTATAATGTGGTATGTTAATACTGTAGGGTAGAAGAAAGGTCTGGCAGATTTTGACCCAAATCATCTAAGGCAGATACTTCTAAAATTACTACTGGGTTTCATTCACTTTAAGGTCATTGGACGTAGGTGAAGGCAAAGAGCAGGTGGCCTCTCTAGTGCAGCACTAATCTAGTCTTGTCAGCAAAGATATCACAAGTAAACCCTGTATTTATTTGGTTCAGTAAAACAAATTCTCACCACTGCTGAGGGAAGGCAGTATAAAATTGTGGCAAAAGGGTGACTTTGAGTTTTATTTAATTAAAGCATTTAAGCACTATTTGGTATCTCTCCAGTAGGACAAATGAGCAGATGTTTTCATGAAGGCTGACGATCAAGTTGAGGAGCTGAAAGTACAGTTGCACAGTCCTCTGGTGCCACATGTGAAACTCATATTCACCTGTATGTCTGTTCAGGCACGGGCTGTCCGTGTCTCTGTCTCTCTTTTGCAGTTCTGTGTCAGCTTTTCCTTTAGTCCAGCAAGAGAGTCCCTTCTTACCACCGTACTAACACACAGTCTCCACTTTCTATTGAGTAAAACTGCAAAGGCTTTAAGTCATTGTCTAGTTCAACTTCTTTTCCTTCCAACTAGAATAAGAAAGCAAAAAAAAAACCTAATCAGACTTAAAGTGAAATCCCTTCATGTAAACCAAATAGCAGACAGTTGCAGTCAGAGAGAATCTGTCATTTTACAGGAATAAAATTAGGTCCTAAATTACAGCATGAAGACAGCCTTCCTCAAGCGAAATTAATTTCTTTAGACAGTATTTTAGAAAGATGCTATGGACCTTTAGCAGCATGAAATATTTTGTTGTTGAATACCCATTTTTAACTCACTTTAGAACTTTCGTAGGACAGTTTCAGTTCCGAACCAGGAATTTTAAATAGTCGATAGAGCAGTCCTTTGACCTTCTGAATAGTCATAGACTCTGTTGAGGGGAGGGAAAGAAAAGTTATTAGAAAAATGCTGCTGCCACTGAGCTGTATCAAAGTACCAGCATTTCACTTTACTTGCGTATACCAACAGTGAAAGGCTGTATTGCTGCTTCAGTTCTAACACTGCAATGTCTTTGGTACCTGAAATATCTACTACTGTCAAGAGGAAAATGGTTTAACCTGTGGTGCTTAGGGCAGGATGTGCTACTACAGATCCCATATACCAAATTAAAGTATTTTGTTTGTATTTCTACATGCTAAACTAAGTGACCTTTGGGACACACACCAGCCAGGTTCTGACTACTTGCATCTGGCAAATGTTCCTTGCAGTTTTCATTACCAGGAATTGGCTTTCCCAGCACAAGTAAGCAAATGGCACTGTGGAACCAGTGATGTTCTTAGGAATGGTATTGAGTTATTAGTCCCAAACACATCGTCAGCAGAGTTGTTTATATTATGAAGTCAGTAATAGGAAGGGGTATTTTTTGTAATGGATCTCGAATGAGTAGATGTAGTTTGTTCCAGAGGTGATACCTGTGTTTGCAATAGATAAACTCAGTATTTTGGTTGAACTTTCACTTCTTTTGAAGCTTTATCTAAAGGCACAGCAATAGCGAGTTATTCCTGTAATACCACACATTGTACTTAGACAAATATTTTTCTATCAAACATTTTTGTAAAAGCTGTATCTATCTGATTTTATGCAACTTGTGGTAATAAATGTGATTTTTATTTTAGACTAAAGCTTGAATACTTTTTTTCTCTCAGACTACATTATGACACATCTTTCAAAAACATCAGCCCAGTTGGGAATGGTCTTAATTCATTTCAGTCTCACTACAGGCACTAAAACTTCAAAAGACAAATTTGATGGAGGTCAGAACTAGATTCCTAACTTCATGTATTAGATACCAGACCTCAATATCTAGATTTACACACTATGTGGTTGCCTTTTAAGACTTCATGGTCTGGTTACTTGGTTAACACATCCACCAGATTTCATCCCTCTTAACTGGGCTTTAATTGCCTCAGACTCATTAGTCATGAAACCAGCAGCAGAGGTCATAAGACAAGCATCAACTTTCCATCTTCAAGTTGGACTGAAAGTAAGTATGAAGG